CCCCCCCGAAATCCTGGCCAGTTCACCGCCGCCGCCCGCCGGACGTCCAGGACGTCCCCCGTGCCTGCCAGGAGAGCCATTGGGGTATTTCCCTTCACCGAGTTCTACATGGGGCAGGAGGGGGCGTGGGGCCGAGTTGCCTGGGACGACCCAGGACTCCTTACCACTGCGTCTGACAGGTCCGGAAAACATTTCTTTTTTCTGACTCCTCAGTTTGAAATAGGCGGTGGAACTGGACGCGGGGAGACCCAGCTTCGAGGACGGAGAGGAGCCGGCGCGTCACTCGTCCTTCCCGGCCGTATCAGTTTCTAAGGTAAACATTTGCATTTATCAGAGCGCAGTTATCAGAGCGCAAACACCCTTGCCGTGCTGTACTCTAGCCGCCATGTCCGATCGTACTTCCACAGAGACCATGGATCAGCTGCCGGACGACGTGCTGGCTGTGGTCATGTCGCACCTGAGCGTGAGGGACGTCTTCGCCTGCCGCGTCGTGTGCAAGCGGCTCGCGGACCTAGGACAGCATCCCGACGTCTGGAGGCATCGACCCTTCTCCCTCCGCCAGGTCTCCCAAGAGTGGTGTCCGGGGCTGCGGCTGGCGCCATGCGCGCGCAAGATCTCGGCCGCGGTCCCGACGGCGCCGAGGTGCCGCCACGGCGACCTGCGGAGGACCGCGTGCGCCGCGAGGGAGCTGTCCATCTCCATCAAGACGGGCACGCCAGAGGCGGCCGCCGACGCCATCGAGATCATCAAGCGACAGGAGGGGCTCGGGCGGCTGAGAGCCGTGAACCTACACTTCCACGACGACGCGTCCGTCACCGAGGACGCCATCGACCTGATGTACACGGCGTTGGCTTCGACCGGCGGACTGGAGACGCTCACCCTCAGAGGAAACATAGACAGCGCCCAGATCGCACCCAGGACCGCCCTGCGCGGCGCCGTCCGCTCGTCCTTGAGGAGCTTCACCTGCGATCTCACTCCGGAGTCGGAGCCCTTCTGCAACCACATCCTGGCCGCCCACGCCGCCACCCTGGAGGTGGTCGACCTGGAGAGCTACTGCTACACGTCGCCCACCGCCTCGCCGGCGCGCCTCCTGGCCGGCATGCCCAACCTCCGCAAGCTCAACTGCCACATGATCCCCGGGCTGGAGAACCTGGTGGCGTGCAAGTCGTTGCGGAAGCTGGTGCTCACCGTGACGCCGCAGATGAGGGCGAACACCGCGGGGGCCGCGGGGCTCCTGCGACGCGCCACCCAGCTACGCTCCGTCTACCTGTTCTACTTCCCCGGCGCCCACAGCTGTGCCGACGTCGGCGTGCAGCTGGTGCTGGCCCTGGTCGCTTCGGGGCGGTCCCAGGTGGAGAAGCTGTTCATCGAGAACGAGCAGGAGATGACCATGTCCTTCCCGCAGCTGCAGCCGCTGCTGCGCGCGCTGCCCTCGCTGCCCGCGCTGCGGCTGCTCCGCGTCAACTGCATCAAGGACGAGCTGGACGAGCTGCTGCTCGCCATCACCCCCGACACGGCGCCGGCCCTGCGGAGCCTCCAGCTGAGGCTGCACCCGGACGACGTGTCCACGTCGTGGGTGTGCTCCCACGCCCTGCTGCACAGCGACGCCGTTAGGACGCTCCTGTCGGCCAACCCCTCGCTCCACTTCGAGTTGCACCACGCCGACCCCTGCAACGGTTGCGACGTGTGCGACCTGGGCTGCTGCGTAGACCTCGAGTTTCCCATCGGCTACGTCGGCGTTTGCGCGCACGACTACAAACGGTGTCCCTCCCCAGAGGACCATAAACTGGACGGCGACGGCTTGTGGTTCAACCTCAGCTATTTCAGTGATTAAACGCCTGTTTGCGGTACACTATGAATATTTTTGATGTAGCATAGAACGAATAAATTATATATGTATGATATTTTTTTTGCGTTTTTCTGTCCCTCCAGTATTTGAGTACATAAAACATTCCCTCGACTACTTTTTCTAATGCAGCACGTAAAACTTGGCCAAAGGGCCTACTGGATTTCTCTTGCAACAATAAAACAAGAGCTCGTCCAAATTGAAATCCGCGGCAGATTGACTTGCACTGTTTTTAAAACTTTCATCGAAGAAAAAATTTCAGTCCTTTTTGGAAAAGTGATACCAGCTTTAGATACATAGATCGCAACAAAGATCCAGTTGAAATACTCTTAAGTAAAATGCATATAGGACGGCCAGTAAATTTTTGACAAGTCCAGACCGTGATTTGACAGTCAGACTATATTCAATCTTACGGTCTTAACTGAGTGTGCGCCGTTTTTCAGGAAACACCGATGATTTCAATTTTATAACCAAATTATAACCAAGTAAAAAAAAATTAAAATAAAAATTTGATACAAAAAATGGGATATAGTCCGACCGTAAAATAAAATACTGCAGTTGGCTAGTTGGCCAACCCGGGCCTTTCCTCCGAGGGGTCCTTCACTCAAAAAAAAAATCAGTGTATACCCTCAGACAAAATTACGAAAAATCAGAAAAAATCACAAAAAAGTCATGAAAAATTAAAAAATTGGTGTACGCTAGGATTTGTAGTGAAGGACCCTTCGCTTTCCTCCAACCTGGGCGGGACATCGGCGTGTCGGCGCTAATCCTTGAGCCGGGAGCTGGGGAAGCCGGGGGAGGGGATATAGAGCCGCCAGCCGGAGAGGAGGGGGGAGGGGCGGGTATTCCGGATCGTCTCGTCTCCGTCTCAGCCTCAGCCTGAGACCTGAGAATCTCAGGTCAGTGTGAGTGTGGCCCTCGAGGTGAAGAGAAGTTCTAGCTGCGTGTACGCCAGTCGTCATATATCCGACCTCGATGGTAAGTACCCTAATCAGTTTTCAACACCAAGTGTCAGTGAGTACCAGCCCGCTACAGTCGTGCCCTCGATCTCTGCGACTCTGTCTGAACAGATCATGGACGAGCTGCCGGACGACGTCCTGGGCAAGGTGATGGCGCTTCTCGGCGCAAAGGACGTCCTCGCCTGCCGCCTGGTGTGCAAGAGGCTCGCGGACGCGGCCCTGCACCCCTACGTGTGGCAGGATCGAGTTCTGCGGGGCGACCGCGAGGATCGCCGGTTCGTGTGGCCCGTGCTTCGCCTGGCGCCGCGCCTGTATAAGCTCGTGCTGACGCTGGGGGGCAGTCGCTGTCGGCAGCCGTTCGCGACCACGTGCGCCGTGAGGCACCTCTGCCTCACTGTGACGTACGGCAGCGGGGCCAAGGACGCCGCCCGGCTCATCCGCGAGCAGGAGGAGCGGCGCCGCCTGAGAGGGGTTTGCATCCACATCGATACGTTCATGGACAAGGGCGACGGCGAAATTCTCTTGGACACGTTGGCGTCGACGCAGGGCCTGGAAACGCTTTCGATGGATGGCGACGTATATCTACCCATTTTCAACCCCCATCGACGTACATCCTTCCCGTCGTCCCTGAGGGAGTTCTCTTGTAGGCTCACCAAGCAGACGGAGCCGTTCTTCTTCCACATCTTGGCCCTGCACGCTGACACCCTGGAGAAGGTGATCATCGGAGACGGCCCCGACTACTTTCCTTCGGCCTTGGCTATGCCGCTGCTGTCCAGAATGCCCAACCTGCGCACGCTGCAGTGCCCTGTAGTGCCTGGACTGCAGCAGCTGGCTGAGTCGCTGAAAGAGCTCATGGTGATTATTTCGCTGGGGTTCGAGTTGCGCGAGAAAGGCCCAGCCAACCTCGATCCGAGCAGAGCCTCCCTGAAGGCTTTATCCTGGGAGCTCACCGAGGCGACGCAGCAGCTCTGCCAGTCCATCCTGACCCAGCACGCCGCCACTCTTGAGGAGGTCACGTTCGCAGAGGAGTCTCGGCTGCCACCCTTGCCCGCGACGGCGCGCCCTCTGTGTAGCATGCCCAACCTCCGTAAGCTGAGGTACCTTCGCCCGAACTACGAACCTCCACCCAGCATTCAAGATGAGGATAAAAACGAGGGCCATGGCTTTGGGCCCTACTACGCTTTACGAGGAGCCGGCACTTCGTCCCTGAAGTATTTCGACTGCGAGCTCGACAAGGAGGCGACGCCGTTCTGCAACTACATCCTGGCCCAGCACGCCGACACCCTGGAGGAGGTGGGCTTCGAGAGCTGTAGTCACTCGCCCTCGGCCGTGACGGGGCGCCTGCTCGCCTGCATGCCCCGCCTCCGCAGCCTAAGGTGCCCCCTGATGCCCGCGCTACAGGAGGTGGCCGCGTGCGGGTCACTGAGGACGCTGTGGCTCACCGCCGTGACGGCGATGCCCGGCGTGGACTACGCCCCCGACGCGGCGGAGCTTCTCCGGCGCGCCGAGCAGCTGACCGACGTCGGGCTGCTGTACCACATGATGAGCCGCAAAAGTCTCGCCGACGTCAGTGAGGACCTGATCCTGGCCCTGGCTTCGTCCCGCCGGTCCCAAGTGGAGACTCTGCGCTTCCAATTCGACTCCCAAGCTACGAAGTTCCCCCAGCTGAGATCGCTGGTGCAGGCGCTGCCCTCGCTGCCCGCCCTGCGGGTGCTCCAGCTCAACATGGCGTCGGACGAGCTGCTGCGCGGCATCACCCCCGAGACCGCCCCGTCCCTGCGCAGCCTGCAGATTATGCCGTTCGAGGACGAGGAGGCTCCGACCTCCTGGGCCGCGTTGTGCGCACACGCCATCCTGCACCGGGACGTGGCCACGTCGCTCCTGCTGGCCAACCCCTCGCTGCACGTGGAGCTGCACTCGCGCCCCTGCGAGGGCTGCCCGGTGTGCCGGTGGGACTGCCACAAGCGTCTCTTCAACAGCCCGTACGTCGGCATCTACGCGCACCCCGAGGGCGTCTGTCCCTCGCCCAAGGACCACATGGACGACGGTCAGTGGCTCCACGTCCACGACAAGTCATTGACCATGCAACCAAAGTACAAGGAGAGAAGGGCTTTTTTTTGAGAACTTTCTGCGAAGCCTGCTACGCTGAGGGAAGAAGAGTCAGCGGAACATGTGAAAATGTCGGACCTGTTCATTTTAGCAAATCTTAATTAATAAATTACGTATTATGCGCCCAAGGAACTTTCTTTTTTTCCTTTAATTATTGTCTACTAGCGGCGGAGTTGAACATATTGGCCAAGCCACCTACCAACTGGAAAAATTGGAGTTGTCTGCCTCACTTTACTTTCAGATTTAATTTTTTGCACTGTTTGCCGGTCGCAGTGCAGTGTACTACAGAGGACACCGGCATTCAAGAAAGACAGGCAGTTGCTGAAAAGTGGGTGGATTACGCACCTCCACCCACTGCTTGTGGCTGAGCATCTTGCGCTGCGGCTGCAGGTTCAGCACCTGCAGCTGCGCGGCCCTCAGCGAGCCGTCCGCCTGGAACTCCAGGCCGGCGCGCCCGCCCTCCTGCTCCACGCGGCTGGCCCGCAGGTACCTGCAACATGCGACATACACACAGACTGATCAAACTTCTGACCTTTTCAAATAATAATAAAAAAAAAAACAGACAAAGACTGCCGATAAAACTTGTGGCGTTCTTAATTTTAAAAATATCCGATGTAGCTTGGGACAGTCGAGGGAAGAGCACGCACCCCGCACCGACACCGGAGACGAGACAGGCCGCTTCGTGCGATATGACAAAATGCAATCGTTATTCCGAGGGGGTTGGAGGGAGGGGGGA